ACAGAAAGCTTGAAATGCGTTCTCGTACGGACGGCGGCCGTACAGGCACAGAAAGCTTGAAATGCGTTCCGGTACGGACGGCGGCCGTACAGGGACAGAAAGCTTGAAATGCGTTCTCGTACGGACGGCGGCCGTACAGGGACAAAAAGTCTAAACTGCGTTCTCGTACGGACGGCGGCCGTACAGGCACAGAAAGCTTTAAATGCGTTCTCGTACGGACGGTGGCCATACAGGCACAGAAAGCTTGAAATGCGTTCTCGTACGGACGGCGGCCGTGCAGGGACAAAAAGTCTAAACTGCGTTCTTGTACGAACGGTGGCCGTGCAGGGACAAAAAGTCTCAAATGCGTTGTCGTACGGCCAGCGGCCGGCGTGGGACAGGAAGCCGCTCGCACCGCCGCTATCCTCGGCGCCGCGGAGCCGCCTCCAGCCCTCCCCTCACTCACAGACACCGCCCCGCTCGCCGCTCGCTCCCGCCTCTCACCCCTCCCGCCCCGTCTCGGTGGTTTTTGGGCCGCTCTGGCCCTTCCCGCCCCGTCTCGGTGGTTTTGCCGGGCGCTGGCTGGGGGGCTGCAGTACCGTTCTCTGTCCACAAGGCGGCAGCACTGCCGCCCGCCACCGCCGGGAGCCGCCGCTCGCCTCGGGGCCGCGGGCGGGGCCGGCGGCAAAAAAGAACGGGCGCCGTCCCCTGCGGAACGTCCTCGGTAGCAAATGCCCCGAAACATCTCGCGCGGAAAAGAACGCCAACAAAAAAACCCCTGCCTCTAACCCAACAAGAACCAAAAGAAAAAACCTTTTATTTTAAACTGCATTTCAATGTATTTTATTTTTGTATTTTTCATATTTATATTCACATTCGGATTTATAATTCGGATTTAAAGGCCGGCAGGGGAGGGAAGAGGGACGGGGCACAGAGGAGGGGGAGAGGGGGAATGGAACGGAGCAGCGGGGCAGGGACAGGATAGGAAGGAGCCTGGTTTGGGAGGGACACGGAAACGGGGGAAAGAGAGGTAACTGAATACGGGCAGGAGCATGGAGCGGGAGAGAGAGGGACAGGAGGGGATCCTCCCGGCGCCCCGGCTCCGCCCCGGCTCCGCCCCGCCCGGGCTGCTGCGCTCGGCAGAGCTCGGCTCCGTTCGGCTGGA